AGTGGAGGGAGCATCGTGGAGCTGAGACGGGCCAAGCTCATCGTGCCTCTGGTCCACATCGTTGTTGTCGTCGTCGTACGCAAGGCCAGTGAACCCTATAGGTGCTTGGCTAGACAAACCTGGTCCTCGTCTGCCTGCAGAAGGAACGTGCACGTCTTGCGTCGTGCCTGTCCTGCAACCACAATGACCAGCCGCACAGCGTAGCCGACGTGACAGGCTCTGTTGTATAAAATTATGTTAACTGAAAGAATTTAACGTATTAATAATATATTTGAAAGAATATTTTTAATCTTACGTCTAGGAAGGTACGCATCTCGTTGTCCCTGACCCTCGAGCGAAAGCGCTCAATGTCTTCAACAGAGCATTTGAGGGTATTGCCCTGCAACAAAGTTCACAGTAAAAATGTGGTTGTGTGTTGCCTCCTCCACAAGCAAACATAAACATATAATTATTGATATCAAACTTAACATAGAAAAATAAGGTAATGGACTTACCACTCTGTCCAAGATTAGTCCTGCCTCCACCTGCCTTCCTTCATGAGTGGATTGGTCGTACGCCGTGTCTTCATCGTCGGAGGACTCGATGTCGGCGTAGTCATCTTGTGTCCATTGAGGTCTTAGCCTGCAACGTGTCGCACCTTGGTACCAAGCTTGGTAGTTCCTGTACTCACGGTCCGTGTGCGGCAAGTTGTTTTCATCGAGGTTGTCATACCAGAGCACCCATTCGTCAATGTAGTGCTGGTGGTGATTCTCCCAATCAAAAATCTTCCTGTTCTTACGATCCAACCTGCACGCCACTTTTGATGTTAGTTTCTTAGGGATAAAATTGATGCTAAACAACGACAGCGCCTACGCTATATCAGAATTAATGGAAATGGACCATCTCGAGACAATTGAAATATGAAAACACTTACTTGTGTAAGTCGACGCTAGTTGAGAACGGAGCCGGTGGCCAAAGCTGTCGCACTCCAAATTGGCGTGCAACTCTATGTGGGAGGTGAAACTCGACAGCATAGAAATAGATCAGAGGGCACGCCATCCTGTAGAAGTCGTCGTTGCTCCAACAAATGTTGCTCAATTAAAAAGGAAGTGCCCCCTCTCCATCGTACGACTCCCAAGACACCTGCAACATGTCCACAAAAGATGTCAGTAGCTATACTGAACCATTTGAAAGTCACAATAGGAAATTAAATTTACTTACAGTTGACGCCGTGAGCGCGTCTAGCTCGTTCGTGAACTCTTTGTAAGCCTGATCTTGGCGCGCGTGCAGAACCTTAACCTGGTCCCATAAGTACGCCCAAGTCGACTGCCGACTTGGAGGCTGACCTGTGAACCAGTCACGACGATTTAGAACCTCGGGACAGCCAACTGGTAAATGAGCCCACATCCACAACTGGAGCAGGTACACACATCCACCAACTAACGATGAGGACGTCATCTGACGACACGCCTCGCAAAGCTGGCGGTAAAGAAAAGCCAACACTACGGAGCCCTAGCTGTACTGACCCACCTGGTCCCAATCAGTAAGGCAGTGAACCCACATCCATGAAGCAGTGTCACCAGTGCCGTTGGGGAAGAGAACACAGCCAAATAGGTGTAGGATCCACGCCCTACAGTAGTACCCAACTGTCTCCACATCGGCCTCCTCGGGGCACTGTGCGAACTGCTATCGGATCCAGGAGATTAGAACTCCAGAAGTGCGAGCCCCTTGCTTGGGAACCTCACGCCCAAGGAAGTTCTCAACTCGTGCTCTCCAACCTTCTGACCTGCACTGGCCAGTTACCGCGTTGCCGTGAATCCTCACACCTAGCATCTTCTGACAGTCCTGAAGTATGACTGTCATCTCTCCGAAAGGCATGTGAAAGCTGTGAGCCTTAGGCCGCCACCTACATTTTAGACAAATCAAGATCATTTGTCGAAAAACGAAGCGCATGAACAAATGGCCATGAATGCAGGCAATGATTGAAGATATTACCTGTCAACCAAGGCAGTTATGGCCGCTGAGTTGAACTTGGGCAACCCCCGACGTACCTGAAAAGAGATGACATCTAGGCCAGCTCTTTCTAGGAGCGGGGTGTACCTGTCGTCGTACTGTATGTCCAAGAACCCATCGTGGGTTCTAGAACGAAGGAGCGGAAGGTCCTGCATGGAATAAAACATGAGCGTGGGCCGTTAGTTGACGAACACATGTACGCTCATAAAAATTTGAACAAGACGTATAGATTATTACCTGCCCCTCCGCTATGAGACGTCCTCGGTGCGTCGCGTCGTACGCCAGGTCGAGCAGGTGGAATTGCGCCATCCTACAAAAATAAGTCAATGAATTAGAAATTAAATGTACAATGAAACATAAACTTAAAAAATTGAGGCATGCATAAATAATTCAATGAATACGACCAAAAAGAAATAATAAAAACAACCAATTGTCCCACCTCACTAATCTGACAATGGCAAGTGCGTGAATTGTGGCCCAGTCTACCGCACTTGCTGCACTCATACTGCTCTGGATCGGTAAGAAATGGGGTTCCTCTCCCACGCCTGATTCTTCCGGGTATCTGATCCATAACCATCCTGTGCCTCGTCCTCTTCCTTGATCCACGCTTGTTCCAACGGTAAGCTGGATCCGCAATGTACTTTGGCCCATCATATGGCAGCCACTCTCCAGGGTCCCGGAAAGGCACGAAGTGAGGGCTCCATGTGTGCACAAGCATGTCGACACTGAACTCGTGAGGTATCCTGCTCTCGATATTATAGTTGTGATGCCTTGCTGCTGCCACCAAATGAGAACATACAAAGTGGTACTGCCTTGGTTTACCACAAGTGCATGTGAAATGTTCGAGGATTACCACATGTATCCTCGACTCTTGAACCTCGCCGTCGGACGTTGTACCGCCCCTATGCTCGACCTGATAAGTCCCTATGGCGTGGTCAAAACATGTAACCTCATGTGTGCCAGCCCTTTCATTTGCCTTCTCTAGATGTGCCTTTAGTTTCGGAGCCCATATCTCTCCATCACTACACAACTTCAATGCATGGGCGTGTCTATCGTTGAACCAGGCAACAAGCTTTAGAATGTGAATTGAACGATTGCATTCACGGGCATACCACATATCCCAATAGCAACTTATTGAATGACTCCACCATGTTGCTGCACTGAAACTCGTACCTCCATCCACCGGCGTCGTGGGCTCTTGTCCATTTGTCCAAATCCCAAGGTGCCGAAGCTAACAGAATACAGGAAGAACAGATTTTGAAATAAGCTACAAATGATTAAAACTAAAATTGAGTTTTACATCTGTCTGTTCATGTCTCTTTCTTCCCTTCTCTTGCTACTTATACACGGTTCCTAGTTAACCCAGGATGGGCCAGTCACCAGCGAGTTGGGCTTCATGATTCTCTTGGGCCTGATAGGAAGTGGGCCGGTTGTCAAGCTGGGAGTGGTATCTTCTCGATCAGGTGCCGCCGGGTCCGAGCTGCTGACAGTGTTAGAGCGTCAGGGGCTTACCATGGGTCCGGCCGAGGTGATAGTTGGGGCGGAGGAGCGCCAAGGCGGCCTGACCACGTGCGCGCAGCGCGGCCGGCGGCGCTCCGCCATGGACCGCGACGTGTCACCACGCCATCGGCGAGCCCCTGGCCAAAATAGGGCGAGCGGATAAAGGGGATCAAGGCGAGTCGAAGGACGCCGTCAATTCAACCACTACCGAGGGCATCGAGCCTTACCCCAAATTCATGAGCTCGGCGACGTTCATGGCCGGCAGTGAGGAAGGGCGGGGTAGCTCCGTAGTGGCGAGACGCGTCCGCAGGCACTCGCAGCACAGCCCGCGACGGCCCATGGCCATTGGGCCACGCGCGCAGGCGGCCCAAGCGGTGGCCATGTGCTCGGACGCCGGGTGCAGGGGCGCAGACAGCGGCGTGGGCGCCGGGGCAGCGGCGGACCTGGACGCGCTCGAGGGTGGCCACGGCTCGGCCCTCCGTGGCGCGCAGGGGCACGGCCACACGCAGCGGCGGGCGCCTGGCAACAGGACAGCGGGCGGTGGCGCACGGCTAGTGCAGAGGGTGGTGGAGGAGGTGGTGCCGAACCCTTTCGACTGGACGCGACGGGGCTAGGTGGCATGGGTCACGCGGCAGTGGCTGCGAGCTTGCTCAGCTCGGGTGCTGGTGCTGTAAGAGATGGCCGCTGGGACTTTAAGAGATGCGCCGGCTGCGGTCTTTTGGCTTGGTCAAGGCCGGCAACGACCAAGGAAGCGCGTCCATGTGCGGGTGGCTAGGCTAGGTACCGCTGGCTTGTCGCTAGCGCTTGGACAGGGCCGGCATTAACTCGGCGAGGGCGTGGCCGCGTTCTGCCATGGCTCCCGCAGGACGACTTGACCGAGCGACGACGCGGACGTGAGGTGCAGGTCACGTTCAGCTTGACTCGCGGCTCGTCGGGCAGCAAGGTCTTGCGCAGCAACGGCAGCGACAGTGCAGCAGCATGCGCAGAGGTGCAGGGCGGACGCGACGGCTAGGCAGCAACACAGCGCTGCCGCAGGCAACAGCACGGGCAACGCGAGCACGCGCCATAATTACCCGGGGCAGCAGGCTAGACGACGGCGGTGAGCAGCGAGCAGTTGAGCAAGCGGCCAGTCATGAGTCATTCTTGTGTGAGTACGTGAGTGCTATATTTTTCCTCCTTCTTTTTTTTTAATTGATTCTTTATTTAAAAAGCAAAATTTTCCACTATACAACAATCATATATAGATAACAGAGAGATTACAAGTATATATATGCATGTATACACGAATACATTTGGCACCAATTGAGTTTGTATATCTATTTATGGTTATCAAGGCATGCGTTGCATTTTTTATTCAAAAATCAGAGAAAACTCGTTTCAGTAGTTCCTCATAGGTCTTAACCTTGGTGCTAAGCAAGGTCGTAATACCAGAGTGTTACAACTTGGTCCTTGGACCGAGCACAAGCAAAACCCTATTTACAAAGCGGATAAAAGTTTGGGAGCTCGGAATGGTGGGAGGCTCTTTGTTTTTGAAGGGTCATTATATCGCCCTGGTCAAGATTGTAGTGGTGCGGAGGGTCAAGTTGTACACAGTTGAAAAGCTAACCAAGGAAGAATACAAAGAGGTCCCTGTAAATCTGGGTATTGAAGAGCCAAAGAAAGGGAGAAATGCATGGAATGGAATGAGGTACCATCACATGGATGCGCAACAACTAGCATCTGGTGAATGGATTGCTGTTATGGATGCTGATCGAGTCCCTTCAGGTGATTCAACACGACGCTCTCTCTTTGGTTACCTAGGTTTCCTGCTAGCCATTGCCCTTGTCAGTTTTGTGAAAGGTGCAATCAGTTGTTACATTCCTCCGACTTTCTGGGTTCCTCTGACAAGGAGACATGAAATATCACGAATTCTTGCCTGTGCATCGCTTCAACCAGAAATTCCGCAGATACTCAACCATCAGCTACAAAGGCAAGGCTCAATGAAAAAACTTGGTCCAACATGCTGTTCTTTTGTGTAGTTGCTCTAATTTGTACAGTCAATGTCTGCATTGCTGTGCATTTGGCGGCAATGGCGCTGAAGAGGCATATACACATCAAGGTCAACATTCACAATTCACGATGGTCACAATGACATATGAAGCTCGTCTCTGGAACTTGAAACTATTCGTTGAACGCTACTCCAGATGTGAATCAGTTAGGGAGATAGTTGTTGTATGGAACAAAGGTAATCCTCCAAGCAGTGCTGCCTTTGACTCTGGTGTTCCTGTCAGGATAAGAGTTGAAGAGACCAATTCTCTTAACAATCGATTTAGGGTTGACCCTTTGATAAAGACCCGGGCTGTTTTTGATCTGGATGATGATATCATGATGACTTGCACTGACTTAGAGAAAGGATTTAAGGTCTGGAGAGAACACCCTGAGCGGATGGTGGGCTTTTACCCTCGGACGATAGATGGTAACCCTCTCCAGTACAGGAATGAGAGATATGCTAGGGGTAAGAATGGATGCAACCTGATCCTCACAGGTGCTGCTTTCATGGATAGTGAGTTTGCTTTCAAGAAGTACTGGAGCGAGAAAGCTCGTGAAGGGAGAGACTTTGTGCACAAGAACTTCAACTGTGAGGACTTGCTCATGAATTTTCTTTATGCGAATGCAAGCTCCACAAGGACCGTGGAGTACGTCCATCCAGCATGGGCTATCGATACATCCAAGCTTTCTTCGGTTGCAATTAGCCGAGACACCCAGAAGCACTACGATGTCAGGACAAGTTGCTTGGCGAAGTTTTCTTCCATATATGGTCCCCTCCCTCGGAAATGGGGAGTTTGGCATGCGAGAAGATGGCTGGGACAAATAGCCTGACAAGTGTGAAATACACAATGATCACATGCTTAGTGAAGATTTTTGGTTGGTCCCGAAGAAAGTTTTGCATTATGGGGAAAAGTTATAACCCTGTTGGTTGTGAATGGTTGATGATGTACGTACTAGATTCGGTAATTCGGCTAGGAACCTAGCTAGAACTGTGTAGATCTGGATGGATCATTGTTCAAAGCCTTTGGGGGTTTGAAACGGGCCAAATGCAATGCAGTGCCTGTGAAGTTCAGCTTACTCTGTTCCTTCTCTTGTGTAGCCGCTGTACATTTTTAAGACTGGGCTAAGGTCCTGCCGTGCTGGGGTTTTGCCGTGCGTTGTGTCATTCTTTCCGCTTCTTTTGTAACATAACAAAATTTCTACAGCTCTGAGTTAGTTTTTTCTTTTTTCTTTTTTACTCTTTCAATCGCAGAATGCCTTTGTCAGTCTTGGATTATTCTGTCCGTTTTTTTCCCCCTGAAATCGGTGTTGTAGGCTGGAATTATCTCCGTAATGCTCAGTGACATATATGCCCATGTTATGTGTTTGCTGTGTGGATTGTGTTGCTGCTCTCTCGCAAGTTGCTGTTCTCCGGTCGCCACCGACTCATGGCGTGGCGGCGGCAGTGGGGATGGTAGTGAGTACTCATTGATGTTTTTGGGTCGGCTAATTAATTACGTTAACTTGCTATTTCAGCTTATTTTCTTCTCTAAACTAACTGTATAGCATGTCATTGCAGTTCGATGTGTCAAATTTGGGTGGACTCAATAAAAAGAGTGGAACTTGCATCTAGTCGGCACCCAGGCCGGTGACCTTGGGTGCGAGGTGACGGCCCGTCGTCACACTCACACGGCCACGCCGCCCAGGACGCAACAGCCAACAGGCACCCACCGTCCGCCACCCCTCGGCGCGCGGGCGTGGATGCAGCAGATGCTGATGGATTACTCGACGGGACGGCCTGGCTGACGTGCAAGGGGTGATCATCGGCGAATGAAGCAACGAAACGACATGGACATGTCCGCCCGCCTTGTCGCACCACCTCGATGGCCCCCGGCGCGCGCATCCCCAGCACGACGTTGTCCGCGCAGGGACCGGCTCGTTTTCTTGCCTCAGTGAGCCCAGACCGTCGGACTTCCTCTTACTTCTGGGGCGGGGGCGGTGCGTCCCGTCCAGGTTCCCAGCACCACCAGCGAGATGAGCGAGCCAGGCGCCGGCGGGCGGGCCGCGATACGTAGGGGCCGATACAGGAGGGCCAGTCCGCCGCCAACGATTGCCGACGACGAACTCGCAAAGGCAGCATCGTCAGGCCCGTCCCCCTCCACCCTCTTGTACCCAGCCCTCGCCGCCGGGCGCCATCTCCGTGCCAGGCCAGCGGATGCGCGTCAGACGTTCAGGTGACAACGCGGGGATACGTGACGCTCGTGCAGCTGAAATACGGCAGGGCTCCTGCGGTGGTAGGAGATAGCTGCCTCCGCTCTGCTATAATAAGTGCAGACGGCGAAGCAGAGGCTGGTGATCGCCGAAATCTTTTCCAACCCTGAACATCAATGAAACTATTTGCCACTTTTAATGAACTGGATGGCCTCTACTGTCATGACCCAAGTGACTCTACATGTCATTGAGCGAATTAAATGGCCAATATTAAGAGTGGCAATTAGTTAAATATCCTATCCACGGATGAGCGCACAACGGCAACATACAACTCCGTCTAAAAAAAGAGAGTAGGTACATATACGAGGCATCCATTTCTGTTTCAAAGTTGTTGCTTCGTTGCACATGACGCCTTCAGACTTATCTCTTCTTTCCTTAGGCCTTGGTTTTCTTGTTCGAAGCTGCCTCTGTATCTTTCTCCGAGGCTTCCTGCATTTGTATGGCAATGGGAATCGTGAGCTTAAGCACTGATATGCAAAAGAAAGTATTGAACTATAGTGCAGTTATATGAGTAACATATATGATTTAACACGCAATACACTGTCAGTCTTGACGGGGAAAACATGCTGTAGAAGGCCATAAAATTCTCATTTCAATAACACACATATTACAGCACTGGACCAAATGTTACTTGGCCTGCATCACTGAATATATATTTGAATATTTGATGACTACAGAGAAGGCTAAACCATAAATATAACTATATAAGCATGGTGGGTGAGGTGACATTTTGTCAGCGGTACCTTCCGTTTCAGCATGAAAATGCCATCAATTCTGGTCACATGAGGTCAAAAGTTAGTACAATAGGATCAACTTCGACAAGTAAAATATGTGCACAGGCACTCCATTGAAGATGCATCATAGTGCTCACCTTTGTAGGGGTTTGCTCCTGCCTCTTACGATATTTTTTATGGTCTACACACAAAAAAAGTCAAGACATCATTGTAAGGGGAAGGGTTCTATTCTCTTCTCTCTCTCTTTACTATAAAGAAATGCAGCTCTCCTGCATGTTCAAGAAAAAAAAACTGGAAAATAATGGTTGAACTGACAATTACAACCCAAAGAAATACTCATACATTGTTCACCCGATCTTCACTGAAATCATTTTCTTTTACCAGGAACTGAATGAGTCCCTGGAAAACAGCCAGAATCAATTGGATACATTCACGATGGATGAATGGAGTTTAATGGTAAGTAAGCAAGGTCCGAAGGTGTACCTCTTTATCATGTTTAGTCCATTGCAGTTGCTGCGCAGGAACATTCAAATTAACATTAGGCTCCTTGAACAGGCGCCGAGCTTCTTTGTAAAGCCAGTTATCAGGACATTGGTAACTGCTGCATACATGCATCACAAATCAAGCAGCATTGAACATCAGACTGACGAACATTCGGAATGTCATTAGAAAAAGAAAAAAGAAATTTGACATTGGCTAATAAATGCAGAAAGTTCAAAGCTGATAAATTCAGCCAACAGTACAGTGCCTTGATGGTAAATGTAGTACTATCGTGGATACTAGGATAACAGTTAAATCTTCAATATATTTGAATGGATGAACCTGTCTTTATTGTCCAAAATACTTTCTATTGACTCATGACGACGAATCAGATTCAGCGCTTCTTGGCCCTCAATGCCTGATGGACAAACAAGAATAGGAAGTGAGGAAAATGTTTTTGGAATGCAGGAATTGACATATTGTGGAATGAAAGAGAATCTAGACAGGATACCTTCGATGCCACCACAATAGTCACATCCACAAAGGATGCACAAATCAATGAATTGGTCCATGATGAGTTTAAGTTCCTCCAAAACCTGCAACATAATAAGTTGGTGACATCACTAACAAATATGTAACATCAAGGTAAGTACTGAACAGATAACAACAATGCATAATCTGGCACAATTTTAGGTGTGTGCTGTTGCATCAGAAGATTCAGACTCTCTTACCTTTGGGGCTCCAAGGGTCCTTATGAATTTTAAGGGTTCCAATGAACTTGTAAAAGAATTTGATTGTGCCAGAGTATGCATTGTTGTTATCTGTTCAGTACTTACCTTGATGTTACATATTTGTTAGTGATGTCACCAACTTATTATGTTGCAGGTTTTGGAGGAACTTAAACTCACCATGGACCAATTTATTGATTTGTGCATCCTTTGTGGATGTGACTATTGTGGTGGCATCAAAGCTATCCTGTCTAGATTCTCTTTCATTCCACAATATGTCAATTCCTGCATTCCAAAAACATTTTCCTCACTTCCTATTCTTGTTTGTCCATCAGGCATTGAGGGCCAAGAAGCGCTGAATCTGATTCGTCGTCATGGGTCAATAGAAAGTATTTTGGACAATAAAGATAGGTTCATCCATTCAAATATATTGAAGATTTAACTGTTATCCTAGTATCCACGATAGTACTACATTTACCATCAAGGCACTGTACTGTTGGCTGAATTTATCAGCTTTGAACTTTCTGCATTTATTAGTCAATGTCAAATTTCTTTTTTCTTTTTCTAATGACATTCCGAATGTTCGTCAGTCTGATGTTCAATGCTGCTTGATTTGTGATGCATGTATGCAGCAGTTACCAATGTCCTGATAACTGGCTTTACAAAGAAGCTCGGCGCTTGTTCAAAGAGCCTAATGTTAATTTGAATGTTCCTGCGCAGCAACTGCAATGGACTAAACATGATAAAGAGGTACACCTTCGGACCTTGCTTACTTACCATTAAACTCCATTCATCCATCGTGAATGTATCCAATTGATTATGGCTGTTTTCCAGGGACTCATTCAGTTCCTGGTAAAAGAAAATGATTTCAGTGAAGATCGGGTGAACAATGTATGAGTATTTCTTTGGGTTGTAATTGTCAGTTCAACCATTATTTTCCAGTTTTTTTTTTCTTGAACATGTAGGAGAGCATTGAAGGTCCTAAATAATAGACAACACTTAATAATAAAGTGAAAGGACGGGAAGGAAACAGGGTGAAGGTCCTTTTAAAAAGGTACTTTGCCATCTTTGCAGAGGTGAGAGCACTGTGCTTCTGCTTCACTAGGTGCCTATTAGTACCACAAGGCAGATGTCACTGAATTAGAACTGATGGAAACACTTGACAGATCATAGCCATTAACCCAGCAGTGAAGGGTTCAATAATTCTTTATTAAAATTCAATGATTATATGTTGACTCATTGGAAAACTTAATTTACCTGTATAACTGGAACCCCCATGAGCTGCAGTAGTCGTTTACAACCATTATAGTGCGTGCTTGTGACCTGTTCATCGAGGCAAGAGAAGATGGAAGCCAAAGCTTACTCTCAAAACAATAAATCTTGCACCTTAAATATCATATTTTACATTTGTGCTGTGAAAGAATCTGAGGGGCTTCCAAAAACATACTAAATAACCTAGTATTCTTCCGTCTTGATTTTTTTTTAAGGAAACAATATCCTAATGTTTGCAAAATGAAGAAATTACCTTTACAGTCCTCTTTCTCAATTCCTCAGCATCTTTACCTTTGTCTTCATCTCCATCCTGAAACATCAGTAACCATTTTCCTTTAGGAATAAGAAATAGAAGAACTTAACAAGAACAGTGAACAAACTTTGATGAAGAAATTATCAGCTCACTTCAACTGCCCCAGTCAGATCTAGTAGTTCTTTCTTTGCATCTTCTCTCCTTGCATTTCTGAAAAGAATAGTGTTCTGATTTGAGCATGGATGATTTATACGCAAGTCCAAATAGTGTAGGAACAATCCAAGGGTGAAGGACATCATACCTTTTAGCAATCTCTTGTTTCTTCATATCAGGAGGCGTGCCATCAAAAACATAACTGCAAACAAAGTAGCGATCCATTTAAGAGGGAGCATACTTTTACGCATGTCTAAATCAAAGATTGTGATAGAAATCAATGAAGGATTAAGTGTTTACACGGGCTCGATCCCAGCCTCCAGAAACTTAGCAGTTCGGCAGAACATGCCAACAAGGTGACTGTATAACAAAACCAAAATAAAGATAGAAATGTTGTAAGCAGAACTTGAGATATTAAGAATGCTTGAAATATATTTATCTGTACCTGGTTTCTTCACCATTATCGTTTTGGAGAGGATTCATTGCAGTCTGTTAAACGGAGCATAAGACAGCTGTCACAACTTCAACTTCCACGGCAATAGGTAACTGGTTTGGTAGTATCTCAAGATACAGAATATATGCAATGCAGCAATTTTCTTTCATCTTTATTGCATCTTCTTTCGGAAAAAGCAAAATACACCATGCTAGAGGCAGCCAGGGGCAGGTCAAGAACAATGTAAGTATGTAACTATGTCTTTTGCATTTCCACACTTGGGTAACTTTGTCAGTGTATTAGGACAATCGAAAAAAGGGCATTCATAAATCCTCCAATCACCTCCCCAACTAGCAATAAATAAACTATCACAAGGTTTAACGATAAACCCTAAACCAAATAATAGCAAAATTCCCAAGGAGCTCCCCTAACATTGGCACAGGAGACACAGACGAATGAGGGTTATGTTGGGGCGCAGCACACCAGAAATTGGTAGATGCTTATGCTAGCATCCACTGCAATTATGCGGCGGAAGTAATTGTCCAGATTGCGCTCCTTCATCGATTTGGGCGCATTGTGCTCCAGCAGTTTCCTCAAACCCTACACACACCGAAGGCGCGAACCAGCAGAGTCCATCAGCCGATTCGCCACCAAACAGCAACAACCCCGAAATCCAAGTGGGAAGGGAGAGGGAGGATGGGATCCACCACTCACCTTGATACCCATCTCCTCTGCGGCGGCTGCAGCGCGCGGCGGGGAGCGGGAGCGGTAGCGGCGGCGGCGGAGCCGGAGTGGCGCAAGAAACCGCAGGTTATTTGGCTTTTAGAGACTCCACACATGGGCAGTAATGGGCCGGGTAGGGCCGGCATAGTCTACGGGCCCACGCGACCCAACTATCCAAACCAAATGCAACGACCGATCACTGTAGCAAATCATTGATTAATTAGGTTCATTAGATTCGTCTAATGAAGCGAATGGGCATGTGGTCGGTGGTAGGGCAGTCCAGTGGGACGCTACTTTAAACCCTGGTGATCGCACTTTTTTCTGGATTTTTTTCAGAATTTTTAGGATACACGCACACGTGCGCGTTCGGTGTTACTATGTGTTTTCCACGCACGGGACATGGCACGTCGGCTCCCAATTTCTTTTTTGTATGTGTACGAACACGCACGCGTATGTGCGTGTGGTGTGAATGTGAAGTGCGTGAGTTGTGTGCGTTCAAAGTTGTACCCAGTAAAAAAAGATTCGTCTCACGAAGTAACACCATATGTGAAAAGATTTTATAAATATATTTTATTTAATAATTATAAATAGCAAGATTCCGGATGACAGTGAAGTCAATTCCCGCTCGTTCGTTCTGTTGGGCGACTTAGGTTCTGTTTGGTTAGGCTTTTGACTTTGGCTTTTGGTCCCAAAAGTCAAAAGCTCAACCAAAGGGACTATTTTTGGAGGGTGCTTTTTCAGAAGCAGCTGCTTTTCCGTAGTTCATTTTTGAAAGTTGGGTTGAGCCTGCTTTTGGCTTTTGGCTTTCTGCTTTTCGAAATTGGTGGAATAAAAAACTCTTCCATAGTTGTTTCAAGAGAGATAAAGATAAAAGGTATATTTTATACTTATTTAACCAAACAGCTTTCAGCTTTTCTACAGCTCACAGCCCATAGCAGCTTTTCCACAGCTCACAACTCACAGCAGCTTTTTCCCATAACCACAGCACAACCAAACAGGGCCTTATTTTATCGTGCTACGGAAATACAGTGGTGGAGAGGGGGAAATGGAGGTGCATTTTGTTCGCTTGGACGCGCTGCCGCCTGCCGGCGGGCGAGTGGCCGTAATCCCACCGGAGAAAGGGTTAAATATTTCTTGGATGAAATTGTTTTTTTTTTTGTACCCATATCGCCACGTGACAGTGAAGTCAATTCCTCATTTTCCGCATGATTTGGTCGACGTCGGCGAGGAAGATAGGCCTCGTTTGGTGAATTTTTTTGGAAATGGGTATCGTAGCATTTTTGTTGTTATTTGGTAATTAGTGTATAATCATAATCTAATTAGACTTAAAAGATTCGTCTCGTGAATTTCGTTTAAACTGTGTAATTAGTTTTATTTTTTATTTATATTTAATGCTTCATGTATGCGTCAAAGATTCGATGTGACGGAGAATCTTAAAAAATTTTGCAAAGTTTAAGGAACTAAACAGGCACATACAAAAGGTGTGTGGATTCAAACGGTGTTAACTTACGAAGTATAGTTCATATTTTGATTAAGACTATGCTTGGATTCTCTACGGATTCAAAAAATCCGTTAAAAAATCTGTAATGGATCCAAACACTCCAGCTAATACCACAGCTATTAAAAATCTGCTATCTAGATTATAAAAATCCCAGAATCACAGCTAATTGTTGGACATGACTAATTTTCTCTCAACTAACTAATTAACTACCCTATAAGCTAGGGATCCTAACACCACTAGCTATTTTTTAAGCTAGCGGGCATCTCGGACTAGCTAAATGAGGTAGGATAGGTATATTTTTCCAAAACACCACAAAAGTCGCGTTCCAACAGACTAGCTATCTCCTTCTCCTAGCCACCCCGCTAGCTATCTGGGCGACGTGGCTAGCCATATTTGCCTAGGCAACGCCGCTAGCTATCTCCCTCGTCCGCCTCCTGCGCAGGTCCCGCGGCCCGCTACCGCTACGCCGTCCCCGCCGTCCCGGGCCGCCCCCGCCGTCCCGCGCCGCCCCCGTCGTCGAGCGCCGTCGCCGCCCCCGCCGTCCCGCGCCGGCCTCGCCGTCGAGCGCCGTCGTCGCCCCCGCCGTCGAGCACCGTCGCCGCTCCCTCCCTTCGCTGGCCGCCGCCGCTACCCCTCCTCCGGCGACCTCGTACTGCCGCAGCTGGAGGAAGAAGGTGATTTGAATATAGATAGGCAAGAATTTGGCTAGTCTGTTGGTTTACTCAACCATTTAGCTAGCTTATTATTTTTTACCTAGTCTTTTACCTAGCCATTTAGCTAGGATTTTTAGCTAGTCTCTTGCTGCTTTTTAGCTATAGCTAATAAGAATCTATAGTGGATCCAAACAGGACACTAAGGGGCCGTTTGGTTCACACGACTAAACTTTAGTCCTTATCTCATCGAATGTTTGACACATGTATGAAATATTAAATATAGACTATTTACGAAACTAAAAATATAGATTGAGACTAATGTGCGAGACGATTTTTTAAGCCTAATTAGTCCATGATTAGACATTAATTAATACAGAAAAAATATGCTAATGACGGATTAATTAGTCTTAATAAATTCGTCTCGCGGTTTATTGACGAAATCTATAATTTATTTTTTTATTAGTATTCGAACACCCCATGATCCACCCCATATAATATCTAACGTGACACAACTAAACTTTAGCTCCCAAAACCAAACACGCCTAAGTCTATTGAAAAAGCTCACAAGTTGACTCCTCCATCATCACGGGGCTATAGATAGTGGACAAGCAACATGAAGGACCAGACACCAAAGCTAGAACTACATGGCAAGCGAAGGCAAATCGTATGCACAGTCGAAGGTCTAAGAGAGATATGTTGCATAATTGAATCAGTGAAGAATTTTGGACACAACATCGAGTTGGTAAAGAAAAAAAGAAATGGTGTCCATCTCATAATGAGTTGGCATCTCACAGGATACGTGTAACATTTGAATATATTAATGGATCGACAAATGCAAATCCATGTATTATATCACACTAGTGAATTCACACTTCATACACCAACTTTATTGTTAGTGCCATATTGTGGAACATGCGTTTAGTCACTAGGGTAGGATGTGTTATCTCTTGAAAAGCACGTGCCTCACCATTTATGCTACTATCTCTTACTCCATTATTTGCTTACGATAACGATAGTTTCCTCCTATAATGAAAAGTAGAGCTCGATAAGGATAGCTATATGCATCATTTTAATGCAGAGGCTGGAATCAATATATTCCCTTTTCGAAAAAAAAATAGGTACAGTATGTTGCTACAAAAAGTACTCTCACCACTTGACCAATGTGTGGCCGGTAGCTTCTCTCGAGAAAAACTATTTCAAGGGTAGCTTTCAAAGTCAGAAAAATGAAATTTTAGCATAAACACACAAAATCCACTGGCTGTAATGTGAAATTCTATAATTTGGTTATGATCATTAAGTAAAGTTAGCGGAGTACTGTCACGAGCATAAACAAGTTTTTTGTATACTCTGGATTAAACATACAGAAGGCCTTTTTATCTCTGGATTAGGCATATCTTTTTACTCCAGATTAGGATGGTTAGCTAAAAGTTGTACTAGCTGATTTTTTGTTGTTAACTTACGAAGTATAGTTCATCTTGTAATTACCCCAAGCACCGGCTTATTGAAAAAGCTCACAAGTAATTGGCTCCTCCATTGTGGGGGATGTGACCCCTGGGTACCACTCGGATGGGCCTCGTTGCCTCCCTCCAGGGGGCGTCAAGGCCCACACGAGGGGACCTGGGATAGGCGTGCAGATCAAGATGAAGGATTGGCACGAAGAGATGTAATTATAGATATACATGTCCAAATTAGGCAAGAGATAACTTGTACTTGAAGGCAACATGATTCATTGTAACCGACTAGGACTAGATCGCACCTGATCTGTAACCCTGCCCCCTGGACTACATAAGGGCGGCAGGGCCCCCCTCCAAAAACATCTTACGCTACACAGCCTAAACCCTAATCAATACAACCGAGCACAGGATGTAGGGTATTACACCTCACGGTGTTCCGAACCTGGTAAAATCCCCTGTGTCCTTTGTGTTCATCCATCTAGCTCTAGTAACGGCGATCCGCTCCACACAATCTACCACCATTGTCTACCCCGTGGTGGAATGCCGGACTATTCCCCCGACAGTTGGCGTGCCAGGTAGGGGTTCGCCGGGACAGTGGGCGAGCTTGATGGACGCCGTCAAGATTCCAAGCAGCTGCCTCGTCTTCGCCGCGATGGGAGCGACGATCCCCTTCTGGGGACATCACGCCGACTCCACCGTCGACTATCGTGTGGTTGCGCACTCGGTTCCCCTCAGGGGCCAGCTTCTCGTCGAGGAGATCCTTTGCATCATCCCCGACACTTCGGTCCACGCGACCAAGACCTCCGGTCGGTCTACTACACCGATCGCGGGCAACCCTAATCTGACTACCAGATCCAATCTGGTGGGAAGTCAAGCCAAGGTTGACCGAGCAATCCTTGACACGCCTCTCCCGGCTAGGAACCCACGCGTTTTAGTCGAGGACTTACTGCTCGAGGGCCCAAAACCCTTCAGCAGATGATCTGGTCTAGGGTTTAGGCCCAAAACCCAAAACGCCCTAAACCCTAAACCCTAAACCTTCTGCCAACACTTAACTATAGGTTGAGGACTATGACTTAACTTACGCATGTTGTAGTTTTGAAGCCATTCTTAACCAAACAATGCATGCATTGGGTTATGAATGGAAATATGCCGATGATTGACCAACACTCACTTCTGAAGGATTTCAGGCGAAACTGCTTGCGAGTAAGAGGGGTCAGTTGACCCATCACCATTGACCGTTGTTTCTAGACCTTGTGCTCGTACTTTTGAAGCAAGGGAGAGTGCATTGGTGCATGCCTTGGATTTTGTCGATGATGTTTGTGGATACCACATCGGCGATCTACACTACACTGATCTCATAATGCGACGTAGTCACCTTTAGGAGTGATCTTGGTG